ACTAATAAAATAAATGTAGCTGCGCTAGCAATTTCACTGGCTTCAAATATAACAAAGTATTGCGATAAGCTGAGTGGTATAGCATTAGATAACTTACCAAACAGCAGGAAAAGATTCCTTCTTGCCAGAGGTTAAAATAGAAAGGGAAGCTCCTTCTGGCTGCTGTCATAAAAGGACTTGATGTCTACTGATGATTTAGCGTTTTCATCACTCGCATGTGTTCAGCTTCCCAGGGAAGAGTTTCACTTCCTTGGTAAGAAAAAAATAACTCTCTCTTGACATTTAATTCCTTCTGTTATGAAGGAAGTCAGACTACATCACAATTGCCTTTTCTATCTCCAAAATCCATGATAACATGAATTACAGAATACTACTTTGGAAAAAAAAATCTCAGTTGGTCAGATAATGTGTATATAAAGATGGAACTGACTCAGCTCAACCTTCCTATTGCCACCTCTAAGGATCAAGACACCATGTAGCTTTAACCTTGGTACGAAGTTTCCCTTTTGGATAAAACCAATAAATAAAAGGGAAGGCTCAAGAGTCCTAAGCTCAGAGCAAAAATTCTGCAATTTGGAAAAGTTTCAACTCTCTTTCAAACAAGAGGTAGAAGGGAGGAATAACTTGAACTTGAGAAGCCATGGAGCTACTACTGAGACATGCGACAAGAAAGAAGGCTTCATTTCCTGCCTTTTCTGCTGTCATCATAGATTCATAGAATGGTTTGGGTTGGAAGCGACCTTTAAAGATCATCTAGTTCCAACCCCCCGCCATGGGCAGGGACACCTTCCACTAGACCAGGTTGCTTAAAGCCCCATCCAACCTGGCCTTGAACACTCCCAGGGATGAGGCATCCACAGCTTCTCTGGGCAACCTGCTCCAGTGTTTCACCACCTTCATCAAAAAAAATCTTCTTCCTTATTTATTCCTTAGAATCTGGCCAGTGTAGTCTTCTGCTCATGTATGCTGGCCTAAATCACCCCACCCTCCCCTTTCTCCACCATCTGTATTTTGCAGTATAGTGTCTTCCTAGATTCTTCCTTACCTTTACTGGATCTGCATTTCTTTTACTGAATGGATGCAGTAAAAACTGCCTCTTTACACCTGAGAAGCAATTTAATAAAGAGGAGAAATAGCCAAGGAGGGGACTTGGCTTAATCCTGCAGTCTCTTTTGTCCATCTACCGTCCCCTAATCCCTGTAGTTTCTGGGATCTATAGCCTTCAGTACAGAGAAATAACAGTATCTACTTTGTTGTCACTTTTTGAACTGACCTACCCTGGTCTCTTTTCGCTACTTACAGTGGAGATTGGGCCGGGCCCCATGGTAGGCAGAACAGTGCACACACATGTAGGATCCAAACCCAGCCAGAGCTTTGCCATACCCAAGCTCATTTTGGTATTTTGTATTACCCCGTAGCTTTAAGTTTGGTGTATAGCTATAGTTCCAGGTGTATGTCAGGGCACAGCCCCAAACAGCCAGCCAGGCTGGTACCACCCTGCAGTTCAGCTAAAGCTCTGAAATACTTAAGCCAAAAAGAGAAAGGAAGCATTACTCTAGCCTAGCTGCTGCAACATTCCTCTTGGTAGACAATTTCAGCATTTTATATGCCAATTAATGGTAAAATACAGAAATGGCCCTGAGCTCGGGGACCAGATCTCCCTGTTGCCCCGTGGCTGCCATGAGCACTGAGCACTGTCTCCATTTGTTCTCATGCTCATCCAAGAAACGTTCAGGACTTTTTTCTAGTAGTGGCATCACTTCATACAGATCAGGTAGTGAGTAAAGCACCTTATGATCCCCCCCCCCCCCCCCCAAAAAAAAAAAACCACAGATGTTTCCCCTGCAGGTGTGGCTCCGAATCCCTCTCTGCCAGAATAGGGAATTGAATCTCCACCTCCTACTTGGAAAAGCGCTCTCACCGCCGTACCGGCAGTAGAAAGGAGCGGGCGCTACCTTCTATCACCCAGTTCTCTTTTAACTGCTACCGCCCTCCCTGAGAATCCTGGCGCTCTTCAGAGGCGCCCTTCGGCTCCGCCTTCCCCAGGGACGGACCTGCCTCCCGAAGGAGCACCACCTCCAGCAGAAGTCTCAGCTCCCGCCTTTTTACCCAAAGACCTTCGGGGAAGGGGGGGGTAATCTCGCGTCAGCTTCAGCTGCCAGCCCCCAGCAGCGCTCTCGGTGAGGCCGTTCCGCACCGGCAGAGGTCCCCTCCGTGGGGACCCACCCGCGCCCCTGAGCGGCTCCCT